ATCAATCAATCAATCAATCAATCAAACAATCAACCAACCAGCCAACCAATCAAGCGATCGATCTATGGACCGATCGACCGACTGATCGAGTCATCATTCGATCGATCGATCAATCGATCAAGCAATCAATCAGTCGGTCAATCAGGCAATCAATCAATCAATCAATCAATTAATCAATCATTTAAAAATCCACGTTTTTTTAATGCGTTTAACTCTCGCTTGATTTGTTTGAAACCGGGTTTCGACTGAGTTTATTTAGTATCAGAGCCCAGCCAAGCGTTGGTGATCGTAAAAAGAGGTATCGCATAAAAATAGTCGCAGTGCAACAAAGTGTACCTCACTTTATGTTTAAATAACAAGACTTACCTCGGTTGGCATTAGAAATCTGGGATCGAAGATTGAGTCCTCTGCGTCCTTGCCTACCCGAATCTCGCCATCCTGACACACTGTAATGCTGGGCACTTCATGAACAGTATGGCGCCTTCCTTCGTTATTCTTTAACGGCGGTAATGAAAACTTTCCCTTCTCTCTGCTTGGCTGTGTGTCAGCCCGAACATGATTAGTAATTGTTTCATATCTCATATCGTTCGTTGTTGTTTCAGTGATTGTTAACTGATCCCTGTTGTTATCAACAGAACCTGTCGAACCACGCCATTTCGTGATTAGCGCACTTTTGGAGAAGTGGTCATCGGTCAATTCTTCCTCATCATTGTTATTGTGCTGATTGAAAGAGAGGAGATTGACACCTTCTGTTATTGACACTTGACAATCACATTTGTCGTCATCCATGGGATTATTAGCTGATTCCATTCGTGTATCTTTTTTCATTAACTCAGTTTCGACCTTGTATTCCAAATCGATCACTTCCAACCTGTTTTTTGTCGATCTCGGGTACTTTTGAGTAGCTTGGCTTGGAATTTCTGGTAGTATTAAAGCTGTGCTTTTGTCTTTAGCGGTAAAATTTTGAGGAGGAAAATAACACACGCGTGAGCTGTCAAGATCCAGCCACTCAATATGGTGATTGTTATCACGGATGCCGTCTGTCCGGAGTTGATGGTTGATCGACAACGAAGGAACGCTTTTTCTTCTAAAGCCGGTCCACACCTCCTGTATGCATTGAAACAAAATACAAAAATTATTCTTAGTACTTGTTATTTGAGACAATAAACTAACCGAGAATATTTCGCCAAGCTACTACATGATCAAGCTCAATTTTGAGCAATATGCAAATTAACGAATGCACTGTTTGTGATGCACACTGATGTTAATTTACACCACGATCCACCACGCTCACCGACTATTCCATTTCTAGCGGACTTTCGACGATTCTCGTTCCAAAATGCTACATTATGACATTCCAAATTGTCAACGTTTCCTTTACCATTTTGTTGTGTGCAAGTTCAACTCAAAGCATTTGCGTCACTTAATTATGTCACCAGAGAGTTTCCACCCAACAAAACCACGATCTCGATATGGATCTTGAACTCAACTTATTATCAGCGCTAATTGGCGAATTCCGAATTCCCATTTGTCACCGCGGTTAAATGAATTTTAAAAGTACAGGATCTGCGCCCGTTTGGATATATGTCCCTGAATCTTATTGCTCAGTAAGAATGCTTTAAAAATCTTTTTCCCACGGCTGCCATCGTTTGAAAACATATCGACTGCAGTCGAGCACAATGAATTTTGCTCTAGATAAGGCTCTATTACTATAAATTAGTCAACAAAAGGAATGACAGACATTTTCTAATGCAAGACCACAACCTAATTTTGGCAGACAATTTGTATAAATAAATTTAGGCCCGTTTCAGAAGTCGATAATTTAGATAACACGGTATTTCGGATATATTCAGAATATATTAAAAAGGCACACAACTGAATGGCGTCAAATAGGAAAATGATGTTTTTGTGTTGGGGTCCAATACAATGAGAATGTGCATATTGGGCCGCCTACGCAATTAAGCTCAACTAAAAAAAATATATTTAAATGGATCATATATTTAAAACTCCTTCTTATCAATCGATAACGTGCAAATAGTAAAAGTCGTAACGCGATGATTCTGACTCTGAAAAGTTCGACATAATTGGACTTAAGTCAATAGAGAGCTGTTAATTTCAGATAGGGGAGATTCAGTGAATTACTCTTCATGACAAAGAATTAGAATCTACAAATAGGTAGCCTGAAGTTCCATATCAATTGACGTCAAATCCGGAATAGCTCTCAGCGAGAGAGAGCAATTCTAACTCAACATTAATTCACAGAAAATTGAAACTTGTGTGGATTTAAATTTGGAATTGTAATCACGAATCAAAATGAAATTGTTTATTTTGTCTATCACTGTTTACGCTTTCAAGCAGACTGGCTTGCCGCCGGAAGACAACCTTACTAAAGAGCTCAATACGAAATTAGGGACGCACTGCAAAGCTCTCTTTGCCAATCAGAACTGGCTAACTTGTGACCCTACCGACATTAGAGTGGCAATTCATGTCAGCTAAGGAGACTTCCCCTTGAGATCAATTTTGAAAGAACCATATAGTAGCGTTGATTTCTTTTTAGTACATCTCATTGGCTCAAAACGTTTTAATAATTTGCCTTTGGTTGGGTTTTTAAATTATTCAACAATTCATTGATCGCGGCTTAAAAACAAAACGACCGGCTTGCTTTGCTGAAAGCCAGTGTGATGCCAGTGAAATCGGTTGAAATGAATCTTAAAGAGCTACCTTTATTGTTCCTTTTTTTTAAAAAATTTCAATTCCACTTATCTTCCATGGTTCTTTAGCCATCGTACTCGGCGAGTCGACCACTGGTTCGAACATGAAATTCAAACGCGTGAGACAGTACTGTATTTGCCACCAGCTGAATTTAGCCGGTTTTGGATTTGGCATTAGAGCGCTTTTCTGTTTACATTTTGCTAATGCTTTCTGCGGCATACGTCGCGTCCGAATTGGATTTCCGGATATTTGTAATATATTTTTCTTTAAGACCGGTAAATTAGCAACATGAAAAGCCTTACCTTACTGAATGACAGTTTTCCCGCACTATAGGAGACTTCTTAATAAACGTCGGCTCATTGACGCAAATGCCTGTTGTTTTAAAGTATTCTCGTCAGCCGCCTAACGCGATGGATATTTTTCCTTTTAATTCAAGCCTTGAGGATGTGAAACCGCAGTCAGCGTTGGAACAGGTGTTGTTGATAAAAATAGCTTATTTGCCCAATCTAGATAGCCCTCAAGTCTTGTTCTTGTTTATTGTAGTATTTTTTCAGCAGCTATTCTGGCTTCCAAGTTGCCTTCATAAACAAAACTTACATGTTGTCTACGATGGTGAATTAGCACTGCACTTGGAAGAAATTACTTTCAACAAAAACTGAGCGCTCTGCCGTAAAACGAACGAAAACATACCGAGGGGAATAAGGAAAATTAGCACGTCGTTGAACGTAGAAACGAGAGGAAAAAATGCAAATAAAAAATAAACTGTAGGCAGATGTCCGTGAACTGAAAATTACAACATGAAATAACAACTTGAATTGTTACAATCAGGTTTTTCATACCTATAAAGCATTTCATTTTGATACGTAAAAATGTTTTAAATAACGATTTATTTCTGCCAGTATTGCTAGTAAAAAATCCTCTTTAATTCAGACTAATAACATAACTCATTAACGCATTTCAGTTGCTATCTTCATATCTCGACTTGTAACGTTGAATCAAAATGTAATTCTGTAACGGGCTTTAGCGGTTGCCCAGAGATGACCGCAAGTGAGTCGAAATTACAAAATGGAAATATTTTAGTTTGCCAACGCAGTATGCCTATGTTATTTTGTGTTTTCAGTTTATTGACTTTTTTGTTCTATTGCAAAGCTGTTTCAACTATTGAAGCGGCGATATACTAATCAAGAAAATGATCATTCTGTTTACGTGAGAAGGAAATTGTAAAATGCATCAAGCAGTCTAAGTGTTTAAAAAAGGCAGACATAGCGAATCTTGAACGTTTAAGCCAATGCTATGTGAAAATTGCTTTCCAAAGTAAATTATTTTCGGACATCTGGCCTGTGAATACGTGAATCTGAGGAAAATTTAACAAAGTTATCATGATTTGTCTTGTTTACTGCCATTTGTTACTGCTTGATAACTTATATTCTCTGAGAATGCTACTATGTGTTAGTACAACTATGAAATAGAAAACAGGGCAATTTGTTTTAAGCTCAAAAATGATTGCTTATTATCCTTATAGAACAAAAATAATATTTGTACTTGTTTCACTAAATTCAGCGTTAAATAATTCTTTTGTACTGTATGTTAATAGCAAGCATTTCACGTTTGTACATATATTGTCACTTACAGATTTGTCCTCCTCTCTCCCGTACAAAGTTCCCTCGTTTATAGCAGTCTCCACTCCCTCTAACCAGCGGTTTATTCTTGGATTGGTGGCACCCAGGTCCCCGTCTTCACGCATAACAGCTGTTGTGCACCTTTAAATATATACTGAAGCCTGAGAATGAATTTGTCTCCCAGAAATTATTCTAAAGTTATGATATCCTTTTTGATAATAAAGCGAAAGAAAGAGAAATCGATTCGAAAATCGCTCGTACGGGCCGAGTCATCTAGTAAGATCTTCTTTTTTCTGTTCGAAGACGACATGAGTTTGTCAAGAATTTATGTCCAAATGTCCATAGCTCTTGACCAATAAACGCTCGATAATTCTCTCAGATATTTAAGAAAAGACATAGAAAACGGCTACTTCCTCTTAACATAGCGTGATACAATCAGTAAACCACTCGAGAAATCTAAGCCTTGCCAGTTTTTTTCCTAGCTAGCTCTTTGCATCAGTATCAAGCGACAGATGAATTTGTTTAAGTTGTAACATTGGATATAAATCTTTGGGAACAAATGCAATGCAGAACACCAGGCGATACCTAGTGTTCGGCGCAAGTGTAGCTCTACGTTTAAGTCAACGTCAGCCTAAATAGTTTTAAAAGTCGGGTAGCACGAATGAACCCGGGGGGAGACTCCCATATAAAAAGGACGGGGGTGCTCGGGGTTAAAAAGCAGTTCAACCCTAATTAATTATACGGAGCGTAGTTAATAATAGGGACCTTTAGCAATGACGACGAGAACGTGCACGACGACGTATATGACCGATTGAGGCCTGGAACGGGACCGTCGTCCACGGCGGGAAACGTAAACACTTTAGTAAACCGGTTACGTCGACGAACCCTTTACTGCAGCTTTCTGTGGCAGTCAACAGGAAAATGTCAAACAAATGTCAAAT